CTCCCGTGCTCTCCCGTGTTCTAATGTGCTCTCCCGTGCTCTCCCGTGCTCTCCCGTGTTCTAATGTGCTCTCCCGTGCTCTAATGTGCTCTCCCGCGCTCTCCCACACTCTCCCGTGCTCTAATGTACTCTGCCGTGCTCTCCCACACTCTCCCATGTTCTAATGTGCTCTCCCGTGCTCTCCCGTGTTCTAATGTGCTCTGCCGTGCTCTCCCACACTCTCCCGTGCTCTAATGTACTCTGCCGTGCTCTCCCACACTCTCCCATGTTCTAATGTGCTTTCCCGTGCTCTCCCGTGTTCTAATGTGCTCTCCCGTGCTCTCCCGTGTTCTAATGTGCTCTCCCGTGCTCTCCCACACTCTCCCGTGTTCTAATGTACTCTGCCGTGCTCTCCCACACTCTCCCATGTTCTAATGTGCTCTCCCGTGCTTTCCCACACTCTCTTGTATTCTACCGTGTTGTCCTGTGCTCTTCCATGGAGCTGGACTTGGGCTGACTATGAGGAGTGACCGTGGTGAGCGAGCAGTTACTTTTAAGACAGATGTGTCCTAACATTAATGCCAAACTTTCCACCAAACTTTCCTGAATTACTACCTGCCTTATTTTGGGATGCCGCTCGTCCTGTTTTCTCCTGCAGATTTCCAGGTTTCCTTTTACCTGTGACAATGCTGAATTTTCATAGTGCACCCTGGTTTTCCCATTTTGTCACATTTATTTTGGCTGTTGACTGATCAGTCCATGTCCACCCCTTTAATTAATATCGATGCCATCGTCCGAACCAGCGGGAATCCTCCATGCACAGAGAGCTGGATACTGTTTTATGGTATTGGTGTGGTGATGTCAGATTAATGACGGCATTAATGTCCTTTATCTGTCTAATCCGTCCCTCTTTCTCTCCCTGTTAGAAGTCGGAAGCATTTGTGAAGAGACAGCAGCCTGCGATTGGTGGAGTCTGGGAGCCATATTGTTTGAGCTGCTGACAGGGAAGGTAAGCCCAGCATTGGAGGAAGTCTGTAAGAATCAAGAATGGGACATGGGGGAGTGTGTAAGAATGGGACAGGGGGGAGTGTGTAAGAATGGGACATGGGGGAGTGTGTAAGAATGGGACATGGGGGAGTGTGTAAGAATGGGACATGGGGGAGTGTGTAAGAATAGGACATGGGGGAGTGTGTAAGAATGGGACATGGGGGA